AATTCAGTACGAGAAAATAATAAATATTAAGAGCTATTCAGTAAATTCTATAATAACATTTGTATTAGAGATTCCATTAGTTGAATCGGAAATATATGATTATTACCAACTATTCCCTATTCCTATTCCTACGAACAACTCAAATTATCTTATTCATTTACCTTACAAACCTTTCCTTGCACTTAATGAATTTAGCTATATCTATATGGAAGATATATGCACAGAAATAGACTCAGAAGAGTACATATGTAAAGGAAGTAATAAACTAACGATAACCGAAGAAGCCCCTTGTGCAGTCCAATTAATAAATTTTAAGAAGAAGGCATTATCATGTGAACATTTTGAAGTAAAGATAAAGAAGATAGAATCCACAAGAATTAGCGACGGAAAATGGATAGTTACAGTTCCAGAAGAAGAATTAGCAATTATCGAATGCCCAAATTCAAAAGAAAATTTACCAATACATGGAAGCTATGTTTTAGAATCAGTTCCCGATTGTACCGTGAAAATCAAGAATGAAGTCTTCCAAACAGAAAAATTTAGTAAAACTCATTTTGCTCATATAAATCTTCCAAAAGTTATTCCTTCTATTAATATTTTTCAAATGAAAGTTCAAATTTTTCACCAATAAATCTTAATACAATTAACCTTAGAAAGACTAAAGATATTTTAGAGAAGTTAGAAACACAAAAATATAATTTGAAAGATAATAATTCAATTTATTTTAAACAAACAAGTTTTTGGACAATCTGTATATATATAATAATTTTCATTTTAATTTTATATTATTTAACTAAATATTGTAAAAATGTGCGTCAAAGAAAACAAGAAGAAAGAAGAAAAGAAGAAACCCCGGAATTAATTTTGTAAAGAAGCACATCCCAAGGATATCCTTCTTTCTAAGGGTGGAGGAGTTACGTCCCTGGATTATCCAATATGTGACGACATATAGAAAGACTATATATACCAGTGTTTAATTAGATTAAGAGCTTTTTGTTTTGTAGTTGTTACCATACCTGTACGTTCTCAAAAATAAATTTTGTTACGAAAATAAAATTTTTTAAAAATCCGTTTTCGGTTTTGACTTTCGTAACTCCAGGACCGGCATATAGCCAAGTCAACTTTGGGTAGGTACATATAATTAGATCAAATATTATCATTCAAGCGTACATATAATTAGATCAAATAATGTCAAAAACTCTTTTTTATAAAGATACAAATTTCCCTTAATTATTGTATTATTTTATTAATCATTATTTTAAGTCTCAACGAAGAAAATTATGAAGTTATGAAAAAACACAAAATTATGAAGATCGTAATTTAGTCAAATTGACTGGACCGGCCATTATCCACAATCAGAAAAATTGTAAGTAATCCTATTATACCATGATTAACAAGACGGGATAAGGCTAGGCGCATACACATCGAATTTGGACGGTCGATAAAAGTTCGACCGAACTTTTGTCGATGATGCCTTGCGCGCACACTACACGATATTTATTCGATGACGTTTTTTAATCCACAAAGGTTTGTTAGGTGGAGTACACAAAATCACAATGAGCAACACAGACCCACGTAGCAACACGGAGCGACGTACCTTGAGCAGTGTCAAACAAACGCAACTGGTCCTCTGGTCGGTCGATAAAGATCGATGTGTGTGCGCGCGGTCATTTGATACTATACGCCTTGGAACGACGGCAACGACCACGGCAGCCGTGAATGCAGTGACATTCATCGATCACCACACGACATCATCGATGCCGTGCCGTTTGGCGATCGATGTGTGTGCTCGCTCACATTTGTTTCTTCGCGCCACCAAAGGAATTTGTTCGACCGAACTTTTATCGACCGTCCAAATTGATGTGTGTGCGGCGGGCGTAACAGTATTTCTCGGAAGCTCGATCGTGTATATGAATATGTTATACGTCGCAAAGTGTATGCCTTGTATGAAGAACAAATTGTACCCACACTAGATATATTAGTTGACAGGCTTAACGTCGACCACATTGAAATTAAATGCGGTAGAACAACTGTTTGGAAGTGTTTGCAACGTATAGGGTTTAAATATAAAAAAGTAGATAAAAGACAGGTACTTATGGAATCCTATCGTTTACTCATATGACGAATGGAATATTTAAACAAAATTAAATAGTATCTACAGGTTGGATAAATAAAAACGCATAAACATAAGTAAGTATAGTATTGACTCACCCTGTATTATAAATTAAATTAAAAAATAAGTCAGTAGGTACTTTCAAATTTTTTTATAGCAGAAGAATCTTAATTTTGATACCTATTTTGACCGTTGTTATTTCATATGATCAAAAATAGTTTTTTCGAAACTAGGTAGGCTACGACAATGAAATTGATGGGGAGTTCATATTGTTTATTTATTGAAAGCAGTCAAAATATTGTTAAGAAGTGTTATATTATAATTCGAATTGAAGATTGTACTTTTTTCAATAGATATTAATATTGGTAATATTAGTAATTAATTATCAGTACTAATAATTCGTAATGAGTATATCAAATGCAAAATTGTATGTAAGATATCCTGACAGGAGACATTATGGCAAAGAAGTATTTGAAAGAAAGGCAAAATTAAGACAAACTGGTAGTTTTCATCGTCCTTGTTTTAATTGACGTAGTAGAGGTATGACCGAAGATAATTCAATCAATGTTCTTGTAGTCGGCAAATCTCTATAGAATTAAACATACCCAAAACTACTGTTCTAAGGATTTTAAAACATCATAGGTTGGTTTTTCATATTATAAAGTGAACGTTTAGGTGAGAAACTTGAAATTCCCTTTAAACTTTAGATTAAACTTTTTTAATATTCCGATAAAAACGGCAACACGGCGCTTTTATCCGTTTCTTAAAAATACTTATGCACGATTTATCTTGTGAAACAATTGTTGATTTTTCAAGATTTTCACCAATATTTGTTGTTCTGTTTTTTAGACTGCATCCTTATCATGTAGTTCTCCACCAAGCTTTACATGAGAGAGATTGTGATGAAAGGCTGGATTACTGCAATTGGATGTTAGGTCTGCTAGAAGAACAACCGCATATCATGTCAAAGATTTTGTGAACAGACGAGGCTACGTTTAACAGTGCGGGTGGTGTTAATCTGCATAATATGCATTATTGGGCTAAAGAAAATCCGCACTGGATACATGAGGTGTAGGTTCAAGGTACATGGAGTCTTAATGTTTGGTGTGGTATAGTTGATGGAAAGATCGTAGGTCCATATTTCTTTGATAGAACTTTAGATGGCGAGACATATTTGGATTTTCTGGAAAATCAGTTGTGGAAGATATTTCCTTACAAACAAGAAGAGATATGATATTACATGACGGGTGTCCTGCGTACTTTTCCAGACGAGTTCTAGATTATTTGTATGCAAGTTATCCAAATAAAGGATTGGAAGGGGAAATTTATTTTCATGGCCAGCTAGATCTCCAGACTTAACATGTCTGGACTTTTATCTGTGAGGAGGAATGAAGGACTAAGTGTACCAAACTCGACCAACCCTGCGAGACGACATGAAATAGCGCATTATAAACGCAATAAATAGTAGTATATCAACAGCTGACATTGAAGCAGCTGTTATGTCTATGCGCGAAAGATTACATCTTTGTGTAGACAACAATGGAAAACAATTTGAACATTTAATTGGACATTAAGTTTTATTGATCGAGATATTTTTATGATCTTTCACGTATATAATTTTAAGTTATAATAAAGGGTGTGTCAATACTATACTTACTTATGTTTATGCGTTTGTATTCATATCTCGAGTTTGACAAAAGCTATCAACATGCGGTTTTGTTACGAATTTAATCCAGTTCCATTATAATTTAGAATAAATAGGTGTTTCCATTAAACATTTGAAGAAAAACAAATTTTAATTTTTTCTATTCGAAAGTACCCTCTACCTATGACAATTAAAACTAAATACAATTGTTTTATAGTAGATGTAAATTAAATCATCCACACTCTTTCTAATGACACTAATTTTGTTAAAATCGGTTAATCCAAACCAAAAGTTATAGGTATTTATCCACAAATACTTTCCCACTCTCCCCTACCCTTTATTTGAAAAAAGAAGTACTTGAACAACTTTGCGCGGAATTTAGGCCTCTTTCTAGCTTAGTTATTCTTGGTATAATTGGGCGTATTTCACAAAAAACTGGTTTTCAAATTTTTCTTCACAGGTTACGCCCCCTATCGGTTAACCCAGAAACTTGAAAGTTACGTCCAGCGATTTCTCTTGGCCACTTTTACTAAGGAATTTTTTCTCCAAAGTCATAACATGAATAGTTTCTAATATATATCCGAGAGATCGGCTTATTGGACCACCCGGTACATAAATTATTTTTTACTTAATATACATAGATATTTTTTATTTATACATTGCTTATTGTTTGTAATGAGGCTGTAATGAAACAATTTTCCCTGTCGCCCCCATCAAAAAAACCCCATTAAGTCGCAGCCCATTATTTTTGTTTTGCCTACCCAAGTTATAAATACCGTACAAATATGTTTGGCCAAAAAGTCCTTCCTCATTGAGTGAAGTTTATCTTACCTGTGACTCATCTGTACTGATAAGAATTGACGACGTAGTTTCTAAAGTTATCACATATTGTAGTATTGTTTATGTGATTCATGCTGGGTGAAATGATCCATTAAAAATATCTCATGAGCTTGTAAACTACTGCTATAAAATGTTAATCACTGATTGTAAAAATTTTTTATTGTACATATTTTCATTTTCAAAGAAGCGATTTATAAATTGTTCTTGATCCTTAAGTAAAAATAATAAATTGATCATTTAAAATCGACATATACTGATTAAAGTATTATCGATAAAGTTAAATCACAATTACTGGTAGTAAATCCTTTAATCTTTGTCTTAGTACAAACAATTTCAAAAAATTATTATAGAATATTCTCTATGCAATTTGAGAATTTATAATTGTAACGATTATTTACTTACTTCGTTGAATAACTCTAGATCATATGTATTGTCATCATCAGCAAAATAAATAACTCCAGTTTTTGCATTTTTCCGTATCCATTCGATACCTTTGTTTCTATTTGATACTCCCCTGGGCTTTGCGCCTTTGGTTTTATTTTTAAATTCTGCAGGCATCGGCGCTAAAAAAGTATTGAACTAGACATTGCGATTGTTAACATCCATTCTTTTAAGTAAATATAAAGAGTGGCCCAAAAGTTAATTAGCCCAAAATATATTTACAATGTTGCCAGATTTGCCGTTTTTCTTATATTAGTAGTAACTTTCGTTTTTCAAATACATCACCCTGTATATTCAGTCATTATTGGAATCTCCTATTCAATACGAGTTCAACCATATGTAACACTTAGGATTTTATGTAATCTGGAAGGTCATAAATACATAAAACCGAAGTCTGGCAACGCCTAAATTGTTTCAATAAATTTTTTAATACTAACTGTTTTCAAATACATTAAAACGTAACAATTGATAGTTTAGAACATTTTTTAACATAGTAGTTACGTTATTAAGTGTTCAAAAATGTGCTCAATTTGTGAGTTGACAGCACCCTAATCGATGTTAGAAGGCGTCTACCACATTTCTCCATGATTGTCTAGAAATTATTCGAGATTCATTGATAATTCGTTGCCTTAATAGCTCTGCAAGACTTGCTGGTTAAGTTTTGTAATCTGAATTTTTCAAGTATCCCTAATAAAAATAATCTTTAGGATTGAAATCGGGTGAACGTGGAGCCCATTCAATTTTACCTTGTCTACCAATTTATCGTCCAGGAAATATCTCATCTAAATATCTTCGAACATTTACACCAACTATCTGACGTTAAATTTCTTTCGACAAAAATTACCCAATTGAATAAGTAACTACTATATCTGACGATACATTTAATTTTTGTGGTCTTTGAGTATGGTTTTCACGCATTCAGTCTTCAGTGTGAATTTACGTCACACCAGTACCTTAAATTGTGTCGATTTACACTTCCACATAGTGTAAAAGTTGCTTCATCGGAAAAACATATTCTGTTAACGAAATTTTAATAATTTTTAATTTTATCCATCATTACCTCAGTAAACTCTAATCTACGACCAAAGTCATCTTCACGTAATTCTTGCAATAAGTTAATTTTGTATGATTTAAATTTATTTTTACGTAATAAACGTAAGACTGAAGAATGACCTACATCATGTACTTGTGCAACCCTGCCTGGGGATGTATGTGGATCTTCAACAAAACTTTGCTTATATCTAAAGTTTTGTTGTCATTGATAACTCGTTTCGGTCAACCTGATCGGTATCTATCTTTTACTTCTCCAGATTCCTCAAATCGCCTTACAGTTTTTTGTACCGTCGTCTTATGAATAAGAGAACGGTTTAGAGAACGGCATTTTAGAGAAGCAATTTAAATTGCAGAACTTTTTGAACCACAACTACTGTCAATTTTAGTTCATAATTTAAATGGTGAACAAATGTCAAAATCACAGCATTCTCCATTTAAATATTTAAATTTATTAAAATCTACATATTTTGCACTGTTTTAATGTATTTAAGATCTTTCAGACTACATAAAATCAAGTGAATATATGGTTGAACTCGTATTAAATAGCTGAACTCGTGTGAAATTCACACTGAATGCGTGAAAACCATACTCAAAGACCACAAAAATTAAATGTATGGTCAGTTATAGTAGATACTTATTTAATTGGGCCATTTTTTATCGAAAGAAATTTAACGTCAGATAGTTGGTGTAAATGTTCGGCGTTATTTAGATGAGATATTTCCTGGACGATAAAATTGATAGACAAGGTAGAATTGAATGCCTCCACGTTCACCCGATCTCAATCCCAAAGATTATTTTTATTATAGATACTTGAAAAATTCAGTTTACAAAACGTAACCAGCAAGTCTTGCATAGCTAAGGCAATGAATTATCGATGAATCTCGAATAATTTCTAGACAATCATGGAGAAATGTGGTAGACGCATTCTACCATCGATTAGAGTGCTGTCAACTCACAAATGGAGCACATTTTGAACACTTACTAACGTAACTACTATGTTAAAAAATGTTCTAAACTATCAATTGTTACGTTTTAATGTATTTGAAAATAGTTAGTATTAAAAAATGTATTGCAACAATTTAGGCGTTGCCAGACTTCTGTTTTATGTGTTTAAGACCTTCCAGTCTAGATAAAATCATAAGTGTTATATATGGTTGAACTCGTATTTAATAGGAGATTCCAATAATGGCTGAATATATAGGGTGATGCGTTTGAAAAACCAAAGTTACTAGTAATATAAGAAAAACTAAAAATCTGGCAACATTGCAAATACCAAATATAGAATCTCCGTATCCCAAAATAGGCGTATCTTAAATTTTGTATAATTAGGTCTAGTAATTTACGAGATAATTAGCCGTTTCCAGACTTTTGGGCCACTCTGTATATGTAAATATCTTAGTAGTAAGGGCAGCAAGGTAATATTTGAAGTAAGAAGAAAACGAATCCAAAATATCTGAAAGGTCCAGTGGCGCACCCAGGGGGGTTTTGGGGGTAACCCCCCCAGAGCATTTTCCGACACTGTTACCAAAGAATATAGACGCATATAGAAGGATCTTTCACTGTTATTTTTTAGGATGGGAAAGGTTTGAACACACGTTATAACAAAGAAGCGGAGGTTGATGAAGATTTTAGTTCCTTATTAGTAATACCATTAGGGAGCGGTCAGATCAGCGCTACTGCTGCTTGTAAAATATGAAAGAATGGGGAACCAAATGCAAATTTAGATATTTTTATATGTAAATGTCGCGCGGTCGTAGAATAGCATTAAATTTTGCGTATTATAAATTTTTTTAAAGAAAATAATATTATTTTAACTTTTAACAAATGAATCTTTTTAGAAAAAATATTATGTTTCAAATTTTTAATTGAAATATGTACAAATCTACAAATAATACAATTAAAACTCTCTTCTTATAAACTATAAAGAAAATTAATTAAAAGTCAATCACCGGGAGAGAAAGCCCAAAAGGTGTTTTGATCAAAAAACAATTCCTGATCTTGTTAGTACGCTAGAATTGCTTTTTAGCACATACACCAAAGAATCTTTTTTTTTTTCAATTTGAAAATTGTGAAGTATAATTTCGGATTTTTCAATTAAAAAAAAAAGTAAGTCTCAAATAACGCCTCACTAGAGCTCAACAAAGGAAGATAAGAAAAAGGCAAAACTGCCGGCTGCTGGGACATAGACCATAGCAAATCCCAAGAAATCCAAATTACCAACACCCGATGACAAAAAGAGACTTCTGGAGAATACCTTCACCCCTCTCGTAGCAGAGTTGATAAGAAACCAAGGCGATCTAACGAGCAGACTAGGTCATAATACACCCTGACAAAAGTATTCAGAATAATGATAGCATACAGACACCATCCTAATACTCAACTAGATCGGGCTCAAATTTGATCATTAACAAACTGTAGCAAGCACTTGATCCTATATGAAGTCAAAATGAACTTCTGTAGTTTCATAAAACATCGTTTAGAGAAGGGACCCTGTGGATGAACTGTGTTAACGAGTATACAAAAAAATGGACAACTGAAGTGGTGAAGACTATTGACGGCCTATGGGAGGGAGTAAACTTAAATATAATTTTTCCAAATAATATGCCCAAGCTTCCTAATGGTCCTCACCCGCGTCCCTGAGAAAAAACTTGATGAAGAAATCATTAGGACCTGTCTAAGAGGCAAAATCAAGACCTTAACACAGAAGACTGGTTGTGATCTCTGTTCCACAGTCTGAAGACAGGGAGGAGTTATGAAGGAGATACTTCTCAGATCAGCCCCTCCCCCCACAAAAAAAATCTGGGTGTGCCACTGGAAAGGTCCAGGAAAATCAAATGGTGGATGTTAAAATTTGAGAAACAAGATGGATTCAGAATGCATAAAAAAGGAGACAGACTGAAGTGTGCCAACTATAGAGGTATATCCTTACTAGACACGGTATACAAAATCTTGGCAAGAATATTGAGAAATAAACTAAATTGCTACACGGAAAGAATCCTGCATGAATATCAGGCCGGCTGTAGAAAGGACAGATCTACTGTAGACCAAATCTTCTCATAAAGGAGATACAAACGACTTGTTATGAAGGTAAAGTTCTCCTGCATGTTTTGTTTGTGGATTTTAGACAAGCATAATATGATAAAGAAACTGATCCGGCTAGTTAAAATGACACTAAATAACTATACATGTGAAATTGCTTGGCAGGGTCACATATCAGACCAATTTACGGTTGCAAAAGGCTTGAGGCAGGGAGATCCTTTATCCACTACATTATTCAACTTAGTATTAAAAACTGTAATCAGAAAATGCAGCATGAATTTGGAAGAAACGATCATGAAAAATGAGCACCAGTGCTTGGTATTTGCTGACGATCTAATGATCCTAGCAAAAACCGAGAAAGACTTAGAAGAGTTGAGAAAATCATCGAAGAAGCACAGAAATTCGGATTGGAACTAAATGAAGACAAAACCAAATATATGATCATGGGAGGGACAGAAGGAAAACAAGAAGACTTTAGTGTGAGGTATGTAAGTGGTAAAAGCTATAGTTTTAAAAAGGTGGACAAATTTGAATACCTGGGTGTAGTTTTCGATGAAAATGGAAAAGAGAAATGGGAGCTCGAAGCCAAAATAGCAAAAGAGAATAAAAAATTAGGTAGTTTAAGAGCTATACTGAACTCAAAATACGTTTCTAGACAAGGTAAACTCAGAATATATAAAACAGTAATTCGAACCACAGTAACATATGCCGGTGAGACATGGACATTAAATAAGAAGGAAGAGGATAATCTGGAAAGATGGAAAAGGAAAATATTGAGACGCATATTCGGAGGACGGAAGATAGAAGATGGTTGTGGAGAGAAGAACCAACAATGAATTAATGGCTTTATACAAAGAACCTACCATTACCAAGTTCGTCAAGGTACAAAGAATCAGATGGTTGGGATATGTGGAAAGAATGGCAGCAAACAGAATGCCTAAACTAGTAATAACCAGAAAATTAATCGGCTACAAAAGAAGAGGTAGACCCAGATCAAGGTGGATTAGTAAAGTGGAGGAAGACCTTAAACACGTGAAGGTGAGGGACTGGAGAAAAAAAGCACAAAATAGAAGCTAAAGAAGAAATATTGTACACCAGGTTCTTCAGAGTAGTTAATAATGTTGTATATACATATTTAAGTTAAAGTTTTGTTTAAAATAATTGTAATTAGTTAATATTAGGATTATGTTGTAAAAAATGCACTAGGCCTTAACGGCCTGTTGTGCGTAAAAATAAAATAAATAAATATGTATTCAGTATTAGTTATCTACTGTATTTAACGAAAATAAACCACAATTTTAATTAGAAATGCGTTATATTAATTGATGATTCCATTTGTACCAGGAAATCGAAACATCAAATATAATGTATTTGCAATTAAAATTGTGTTTTGTTCCCATTAAATAAAGCAGATGAAACACTTTAACGAATAAGTTCAAATATAAGATCATTTTGGTGTTGGTTAAACAAAGTGAAGAAAAATTTAAAAGTGGAAAGAAAACTAGAGTTATAAGAAAATATATCTCCAAAATTATAAAGTAAAGAAAATAGCCAAACATAGAAAAGGAGAGCAAAAGATTTTGGTCAGCTTAGAAGCACCGAAAGAAAAAGAAACGAAGAGTTTGGCACATAACCAGTCGAGTCAGCCAGGACAGTTGCTGTATTGTATTTATGAATACTTTGTTACTCTATTGGAATAAAACAAATACAGTATATAACAGTGGATATAATAATATATTTACCAATCATGTAATGATATTTTATCCCCGACTTATGCAAGACTTCATTGATCAAGTCGTTGGTTTTGTGGGCATCTTCAATCACTAACCACGTCAGATTCGGCACTAACATAAGAGTATGAGATAGCCTAGTCAATTCAGCTATTTGTTCAGGTCTCCTGTAAGTAGGAGTAATGATATAAAGGGGTGGTAACTCAGACCCATCAGCTGTTGCTAAAATATAACACTGAAAACCAAAAAATTGTATTAGGAAATGAGAATTCTATCTGATATTTAAAAATTTTAAAATGTTATTATCTTTAAAAACTTTTTTGTTGTATAAGTTATTTCTTTCATGATTATGAATATATTTAAAAAAATTACTGTTTTGTTCTTTTTTTGTGAATAATTACTCTTAGGTAACAAAACTGTACTAAAAAATTGAGTAAAAACATTTATTTATTAAAAAACCATAATTTTTATAAAGTAGTGATTAGTTCAAATTTTGTATGTTCGCCTTTGGTTGCTAAAAGAGCTTGAACAAGTCGAGGCATGCTCTAGATAAAGGCTTGAATAGTTTCCTAAAGGTGTGGATTATGATTCCATTCATATATGAGCGTTTCAAGTACCTCACAGTAGAATATGGGCCGGTTGGGGCACCCCCCTCCACTCCCACTCTGACGTCACAAGATACTCCTAACTGATACGTCGCTGACTCGACGCTGACATGTCATCGTCATCGTCATGTCAGCGTCGAGTTAGCGTCGATATCTTATGACGTCAGAGTGGGAGTGGAGGGAGATGTCCCAACCGGCCCATACTCTGCTTCTTACTTTTATCAGTAATGTTTTTTTTTTTTTCGAAATCTCCCTTTTCAGTAGTTCCCACCCATTCTCAATAGTGTTCGTATCAGGAGAGTTGCCTGGCTAGTTAAAAACTTGTTATTTTTTTGTTCTTCTACAGAAAACCATTCCTGGAGCTATGGCAAAAGTCTCGTCTAGAGTACTTATAATGGAAGGGAAAGTGGAAGGAAGAAGAGGTCCAGGAAGTTCAAACGCTTTTTGTAAAATTAAAATCGGTTCACTAGGAGAACCCATAAAATTTTTTAGTTTTAAACATTTTTTAGGCTTATAAACAAATTGAATAACTTTACCAGCTTTAAACATATCAATTTCAAAATTTATACACTTAAAGAACATTAGAAGACGCTTCTTTTAAAAAAAGATACATTCGACTTACTGATTGCCGAGATATTGAAGGTCAAAGTTGGCATACATTTGCCGTGTAACCATAAGTGATAGAGGACTCGTTTTTAAACAAATACCTTCGTCTTGTCAAGTACATTTTATACTAAAAGTTTTACGTAATGCGCTTCATGGCAACATCCATAAAAAAGACAAATAAAAAACCGTTTTAACGTAAAATGTCGCTCGGAATGGATGAGAGGTGGTGGTGGGGGACACTCACTCGAAATGTGAATCGGCGAGTTCAAAATCATAGCGCACGCTAAAAATTGCATTATCTTGTCTTCTTGTTAACCAATTTTGCTCTTTTTTTTTAATCGATGTCTCGGAGGACAAGGATTTCAAATATCATATTTTCAAATACCATTTTGAATTGCAAATTGGGAAATTGGGAAAAACAATTGTATGTTAAACAAGTAATTGCATTTTTTCTTCATGCATTTATTTTTGAGCTTGCAATTTATACATTGAAGTAAATTGTTACTTTTAGTAAACAAATATGTATTTATAAATTGTTAATAAATAATTTGAATTTTTAAAACAAAGGCGAACAAATTTTTTTTTGTAAAAATCAAACTTTTTAAAATAATTAACATTAAAAATAATTTATTTCTGCAGTTTTTATCCTAATAACGACATTATTTGATTTGAGAATATATTTTGATTCGAAAATGACGTGTATATTGTACGTGTTATTATATTGCTGTGTAATGCTCGAAACTGTTTTTTTAGCTTGCAATCTATACATTGAAGTAAATTGTTACTTTTAGTAAACAAATATGTATTTATAAATTGTTAATAAATAATTTAAATTGTTAAAACAAATGAGAACGAAAAATTTTTTTTTTCATAAATAAACTTTATTTTGACTCAATCTTCAATAATTTTTTTAGTCTTTTTCTTTTTTTTGGAAGGACAAGAATCTTCAGGTCTTATTTCTTCCTCAAAACTTTCATTTTCCATTTCAATATCTTCATCCTCGATCTGTAAATTTAATGTTTCTTCTCCTTCATTTGTAGCGCGCTATAATTTTGAACTCGCTGATTCACATTTCGAGTGAATGTCCCCTACCACCACTTCTCATGCATTCCGAGCGACATTTTATGCGAAAACGGTTGTTTATTTGTCTTTTTTATGGATGTTGCAATGAAGCGTATTACGTAAATTTTTTCATATAAAAAGTATTTGACAAGACGAGAGTATTTGTTTAAAAACGAGCCCTCTATCACTTATGGTTACACGGCAAATGTATGCCAACTGTGACCTTCAATATCTCGGCAACCAGTAAGCCGAACGTATCTTTTTTTTTAAAGCGTCTTTTAATGTTCTTTAAGTGTATAAATTTTGAATTAATTACCATTTAACTGGGAATAAGCCACAATTAAAGATAAAAATACGTTTATTTGAGAACGATTTCCGAAGTGGAAATTGAAACGTCAATAAACGTATTTTTATCTTTAATTGTGGCTTATTCCCAGTTAAATAGTAATTAATTTACAATGCCACAAGAAAATAGCTTCAGAACAATATAAATTTTGAAATTGATATGTTTAGAGCTCGTAAAGATATTCAATTTGTTTATAAGCCTAAAAAATGTTTAAAACTTTAAAAAAATTTCTAGGCTCTCCTAGTAAACCGATTTGAATTTTACAAAAAGCGTTTGAAAGTTTGAGCCTTCCTTTATATGTAAAAAAAATTGCAACTATCTGAGGACCTTATTTAGAGCTTACTATAAATTTGAAAATTTGCGATTTTTTTCCAGTAGACTGGATTGCAAAATTATTATGCAAGACCTATCCGACCGATCTTACCAAAATTTAGCACACGTTTTAAACATATTAAAAAGTTTTCTAGACGGAATATGGAGCTTGTAAGTCAAGTTTAGAAAGTCGAAAACATTTAAAGGATTAACTTCATTTTTTTGTACTTTTTTTTTCAATTATGGCTATTTACAACAATAAACATTAAATTTTCAATTTCTAGCTAACGAAATATTGTGTAAAATTGAATAACGAAACTTTTAACTTGTTATAATTTTTTCTCTAGGATTAATATTTTCCGAATTATAAACGAAAATACGAGCAAAAAATGAGAAATTTTCAATTGTTTTCAGATTTTGTTAAATAAAAAATTTAGCACAGGGTTTGCGACTGGCGCATATAGTGATTATCCAATCCAAATATCCAATCCAAAAGAGATCACGCGTAGACTATCCACCATAACACATTCCACCAATTTAGCACCACAATACCGAAAAATACAACATATTCATTTATAAAATGTTCGTTACTTCAAAATGTGGACATAACTCACTTTTACAATTTACAACTTCATAGAAAATATTGATAAGAAGTCTGTCCTACTTACCGGCACTTGTGACTTTTTAGCAATAACTTCTTGTCGTATATCGTCATTACTGTTAAGAGTAGGTATCACCCAAGGATTGTAGATATGATATTGTACTAATATGATAAATGTGCACATAAATACTATAAGGTAAAGTTTAGTAGATATCCTCATAGTTTTACGAACCGTCTTTTACTGAAACAAAAAGATAACAAATAAAATAAAGATATTTTATACATATATACAGATTCTGCACATTCCTGCAGAATCTGTATATAAAGTAGTACGATTATATAGTCATTTATTTGAACTTTTATGGTTAATGCGACGATAATAAACTTCTGTCTTCCTTGCCATAGTAGGTTTTATTTGATATTGTGTAATTTGTTACTACATTGTTTGCCATTTTTTTAATCAAAAATTAATTAAATCTCCTATTTATGATGAATATCAAATTCGATAATTTGGTATAATTTAATTGCCACTAAAATGCTAAGATAAAAATAACGAGTTGTATATATAATATATGAAATTTTAGTAGCATTTTCGAAGGATACTAGTTTTTATCAAACGAAAATAATTCAGAAAGTGTCAACAGTAATAAAAAATAACTCTGGTGGATATGTTACTTCCCTTAAATCACACAAGCAAGAAATGAAGAAATTGTATTACTTGAAGAAACTAGAAATGTATAGTGGAAGGTTGGTGAATTTTATTTAAAACAACGGACTTACATTAATGGCAATTTCAAGCAAGTTTTTGATGATCCGGATAAGGCAGATATGAGTTATTTTGTTAGAAGTTATAAGTATATTTTGGCAAACTCCTTTGACACAATGTAACTTCACAGAGAAGACAAGAAGCAGATAATTTAATGGAAAAGAAGTGGCCTTAGAACAATATCCAGGTATCGTTAAGCTTTCTTGGAAGAGGTATGTACAGCAATTGAGATTCTAACGGTCAAACGATACAATTATAATTAGGAAGTGATCCTTAAGTTTTGAATATAACTCGATGATCATCATCATGATCTTTGGCTCTAGAATCCTGGGTGGATCTTGTCCTGTTCAAGAATTAGTCTCCATTCCCCCATATTTTTCGCCCTGGCTTGCCAATTTGTGACCCCTAGATTCCTCAAGCCATCTTCGACTTCAGTTTTACATCTAAATCTTGCCTGCCTCTCTTCCTGTTTCCTACTGGCTCTTGATATAATATCTGTCTTTGGGGACTTCAGTGTCCATTCTTTCAAGGTGTTCTAGCCACTTTAGTCTATTAATTTTAATAGACCAGACGATATTGCATTTTTCATACAATTGATACAACTCAAAATTGTAGCGCTTGCGCCACATCCCGCTTTCTTGTAGTACTCCGTATATGTGCCTAAGTATTCTTCTTTCAAAGCGCCTAAAAGTTCGTATATGATGCTTAAAATAGGGATAAAATTTCAAAGGGGTCGGTCACATAGTTTAAAATTTATTTTATTTGTTTATCTCAAACTAAATTTTTTTAATATTGTTCTGAAGCTATTTTCTTGTGGCATTTTAAAGTAATTACTATTTAAATGGGAATAAGCCACAATTAAAGGTTAAATTACGTTTATTGAGGTTTCAATTTCCACTTCGGAAATCGTTCTCAAAATATAAACATTAGTAAATTAAACAAATTTTGTTTTTTTGTTACTTAGTGAAAAATTCTTCTAATAATTTAATTTTATCTGACTCATTTATATTGACAATTCAGACATACATTATACGTTTTAAAGAAGACGACTTTAAAATGTTATTGCCAATATTGTTGAGTTCATTCGATTACATGAAATCAACTTTAACTTAAGAATATCTGTCAGAAAAAAATCATAGCATGTAATTCGTCTTTAAAAAGACAAACACATGTCATGACAGTCAAATTCTCCTGTTAGTGATTCCATAGTAAATTATGAGGGAAAAACCAGGAAAAAAAAACCTCATAATGCTATCCCGACATGGTCGTGCTCAAATATTTGGTCGTGCATTTAGTTGACCTTCAATAAACACCAAATTCTGATTTTATATTTGTTTATTTAAAAAAACATAAATGATGTATCCTCTATATGTTACTAATACTGGTATTTTCTTTTTAATAACTTCCTCTTTCAATATGGGTAACCAGATCCTACTACATTCTGCCGAGGAATTTGCGACACAATTCGTCTCATTTAGCATAATTAGAGCTGCTTCTATGATTTTTCTCTTTTCACCATCCGTTTCTTTTAGGACTATATTTAAATCATTCCATTGAACACTATGTTCATTATCCCATGCGTGTTTACATATTTGAGATCTATCAAATTCTCTATTTTTAATATAAGATTGATGTTCACTTATTCTAACATTTAATGGCCTTGATGTTTCACTTAAATAAAACTGATCGCATTCACAAGGTATTTTATAAATGCAATTCTTTGTCCTTTCTTGTTCATTGTTAGGTTTGGTTTTGGACAAAATAGATCTCAACGTGTTTGTTGTTTTGAATGTTGTTGAAATGTTGAATTTACTTCCTAATCTTTTAAGTTTTTCTGATAATTCTTTTATGTATGGTATTGTTATTTTCCTCGTCTAATTCCTTGTGTATGCTGTAGGATCTCGTTCTAAGTTGTTCAGTTCTATTCAATCGATTGTTGAAAATTCCTTATTTATAAACGATAAAGGATAATCATTTTTAATAAAACAGATGTTAACAAATGTTTTTCCACCAAGTACGAATTTTCGTTAGAACAAGTAATTTTGGCTCTATCGTATAAGGATCTAATGATTCCCCTTTTAATATTAATATTGTGATTTGATTTGAAACTTAAATATCTGTTGGTGTGTGTTGGTTTTCTATACACCTGAGTCTCATATCCAGTATCGTTCTTAGAGATTAAAACATCCAGGAAATGTAGTGTGTTATTATATTATTTTTCATGGTAAATGTGATTGTCTCTTCTTTATCGTTTATATCATTTAGGAATGCGTCCAACAACTCTGATATATGAGGTCATATTGAGAATATATCATTTATATCTCTCCACCATACTGTGGGTTTTAAATTTTGTTTAGAAATGATATTTGTTTCAAAATCTTCACATTATGAACATGCTTCAAAAGCATGTTCATAATTTCTTTAAATTATTCCCTTAAGAGAATTATTTTCACGCCGTCTATGCCTACATATTCTTCTTTAAAAAAGCATTACAACTAACCCGATAGCAACGAGCAATTGGTTACGCCCTTTTTTAACAAACAAATAACTTCGACAAATGTTTTGCATTCTCTTTATCGAGCTGTGCTAAATAGAAATCTTTCCTAGTAACAAAGGAAAAAGGCCCTATTGTGAAATCTCCGCTCTATCTTCTCAGAAAAACAGAAGAAGTGTTTTTCGGAGAAAGATAATTTCTATCGGTAGAGAAAGGGTAAGCTACGAAAATGAACCCCACTAGCCCGGCTATTTAATATCAATTTCGCGTGGCACCCTTCAGCCAATATCACCTCTCTGTTTCACCCATCGCTTGTCTAAGCCCGTTGAAGTTCAGAATCCGAAGTCATTTACCAGTTAGTTCCTGTGGCAAGCGGTTTATCTTCATCAAAGATATAAAATATCTTTACACAATGTGTCCTATTTTAACTATTTTCTCTTTTGTCAAACAGACGTCTTCCAATTAGAAGGAACGAAGTCACTTTTGTTTGCCGTTCATTCTTCCACCGCTTCATTCTTTCACCGCTACGTTCATTCACCTCTACGATTCATTCATCTCTACCTTCAGTCATATCTACGTGTTTTTATACTTTCATTTATCTCGACTACTCATTACTATATGTACTGTTACCGTCTGGCTGTCTCTTTTCATCGACCTAAATCAATTTGAGGGATTACGTTTAGAAGACCGTAAGTCATCGTTGCGCCTGTCGTCCCGACTACCTGTTGCAAGGACCGAAGTCAAGTGCCTTTATTGAGGGCGATTATCTGCATCCACCTGTATTATACTGGTTCTGTGAGTATAAATTTTATTGACTAAAGCTCAACTGTGATACCTAAATCGTTAGAAGTTGATTTATGACTCCAGTTCAGTGTACCTTACCTATTTATGGATGATTACTTTAACTCTACCAGAACGAACTATTATGAGTATAACTACGGGATAATATATACGTATAATTAATGTACAATTAGGTTATATTTATGATAAATTTTATTCATAGATTTGAAGTGATCACGATCAAAAACTTAGTAACTTCATGTTTACGTATTCTCAAGGCGTAAAATTCACTTGTTTGACGAATATTGACGTAGATACAATTATAATGTTCCTTGCCTTTTTCTAGTTTTTGAGGATACTAAATTATTCATAATTATTTCTCAAAAAGATATTTTTTGTTTGTATTTAAAAAAAATTGTGCAATAACTGATATCATGCCATTTAAGTGTTCAGTAAACATTGCGATTTTGTATTTACATTAGCAACTATACCTCAATAGAATTTTGTTGACGAACTACTTGCTTTTTATTTTTTTATATAATATGAATTTATATTTTTGTGTTTCTCTTCCAGGCATTTTTTATTAATTTATACTATTATTTGTTTGATCGTATATTTATTGTATAGGTGTCGAAATATTAACTGTGTACCGCATAATCATGATACCTTTTCTCTCACGGTTTACTTCATTCTCGCGTATTTTTACTGTATCTTACCTTTCTCGTTATCCTTTTCAATATGCCTTAAGGTTTCCCTGTTCCTCTAAAAATAGGGTGGTGCCCAAATAACTTCTCTTCTCTTCTAATTTCTTGTCTCTGTGTTGTCTGTACTTCTTTAACTGATCCGTGATATTTGAGCTGTAATAAGTACCCCGACCAAGATACCTCTACCAGACTGAAGCCCGAGCCTAGTACCGTTCTTTGTGTAACCCCCAACTATCGTCGAAGAGGGTACAATCTTCCATAAATATATCGGTTAATACTGGAGATAAACTAGATCCCATTACTAGATCAAAATATTGTTTATAGAATTCATTATTTATATTATATTATATTCTCAACATATTCTCAATATTATTATTAATATTGAGAATATTGAGGATATTCTCAAGTTAAAGTTGATTTCATGTAATCGAATGAACTATCTTATAAGTAAAGTCGTCCCAGGAGCGCAACTCAACAATATTGGCAATATCATTTTA